AAAGAATGAGATAGTGAAAAAGTTAGTTGTCCTCCAGCAGTCAAAGCCTATAGCAGCAGAACTATAGAGATAGCTCAGGATAACCTGAGCCACTCTAACTAGAAGCTTTATCAAAAAGGAAAGTTTTAAGCCTAGCCTTAAAAGTGATGACATGGAGATGTGAGCAACATCTGCACCAAACTTTAAAGGGAAGATGCTGAGACAGCCATCGTAAGATGCTGATGGGGTTTCAAAATGTGGATCTGTGATTGGTGGCTCCAAAAACGGACACGTGTGGATTCCCTACCCAGGAGTAAGTGTTGTAAAAATGTAAGCCTGAATTAAAGTAGTCAGACTTGAACTGAATAAAACCCCATTAAAGTGCTACGATTATATAGAACATGGAGGGTTTCTATAAAGTTTTGTCTAATTTTAGCAACATTTCCATCAATTTTACTAATGATTATCATGCATTTTCTACAGATTGATCATGAAATAATCAAGGCCGAGATTATTAAGGTTGATTAATAGAAATCCAGACTAGAAAGACTCTACAAACACATCATCCCACTCTTCTTTTCAGTATCACTTTTATCCCCTCTGAATGTTTTCTTTTTTAACACTTAAACAGTAGCTGCTAAATACGGAAGAGGATTAGGGCTACTGAAAAAAAAGTTAACTGATTTTTTAATATTTTAGTTTAATATGGGGAAAAAAGTCAGAATTCTGACTTTTTCCTCAAACTTCTGACTGACAGCAAACAAACATGTTAGCATCAAGCCGTAGCCATGTCTGTTTTAGAGACTGACAGCTAACAAACATGTTAGCATCAAGCCGTAGCCATGTCTGTTTTAAAAAAATAGCTCTCTTGTTTTAATCACCTTCTGCTCTTCCATTAATGAAATAGCATCACTGGGGACCCCTCAGGGACGTAAAAAGGCGCCTAATTCCATAATTTTTTGTGTTACTGTTCCTCCCAAACCACTCACATCTCTTCTTTCATGGTGCCCATCTACATTAAGATCCAAAATTATCAGATTAAAGTCAGAATTCTGGGAAAAAATTCAGAATTCTGAGATTAAAGTTATATTTCTAAGGGGAAAAAAAGACATTCTGAGCTTAAAGTCAGAATTCTGGTTTTAATCTTAGAATTCTGAGAAGAAAATATCTGAATTCTGAGATTAAAGTCAGAATTCTAAGATTAAATCAAAATTCTGAGGAAAAAATATCTGATTTCTGAGATCAAAATTCAGATATCTGAAATTTAAGTCAGAATTCTAAAATTAAAGTCAGAATTCAGAGATTAAAGTTAGAATTCTGAAGAAAAAAAATTCTAAGATTATCTCAGAATTCTGAGATTGAAGTCAGAGTTTTGACTCGTTTCCCTTAAACTGAAAATTAAAAAAAATAAAAAATCAGTAAAGAAAATTTTTTTCAGTGGCGCTACTCCTCTTCCGTAGCTAAAACTGTTCATAATTCAGAAACTATTAGTTGATGTATCTTTATTTAGAACATCCTGGTGTATTTTTTTGGCCATTGGGATTTTAAGGGTCATGGACGCCCTTTGTTGCAGCAGTGCTTCCAGATTAGCTGTAATTGCGAGGAAAAAGCTGCAGGGGGAGACAAACATTACTTCTGCTCTACGAAGAAGACTGAAGGTGGGGAGAAAAAAGGGAGACGAAAAAAGAAATCAGGAGTTGAAGTTAGTTTCTGATTCTCTGTTTGGATAAAGGGCTGTTTCAAAATAAATTTTATTTTCACTTTGTTTACCATAAAACCTTTGATCAAGATTTGTGTGAAATCTGATAGGAAGAAGGTATCGAGAACTACAGTGTTTTTAGGATGATTTTAGGAAGATTCTAAAAATAAAGTCAATATTTTACTTATTTTAAACTGCATGTTAAATAACAAGTTTCTGCTTTGCTGTTTTTATATTGCAACTGTGAAAATTTTGGTTTTAAAATCTGATGTCTGATTTAAAATATGTCAATATGTAAAGTTAAAGATAAATTACAAAGAAACCCATAAAAGTTATGTATAAATGTAAGGTTCAAAGTGCATTTTTTGGGGTTTGATTAAATGTTGATTAACTTTATAATCATTTACATTTCATAATTTTGAATAGACCATAAGGTGGTTTCAGGTCCTTAAAAAAATGCTCTTTAAGTTTATAATAAATATAGAACAGAAAATCCCTTTATTGTCCCACTATGGGGAAACTCTGATGTTTACAGCAGTAAAAAGATTATAGAAAAAAATTGTCACACAAATGGAGACCTTAGAAAATTTATAACATAATAGTGAAAAGTAATATAAAAATACTGTACTGAATCAGACATACTTTAATAATCCCAGACATAAATTACCGTACTTAGTGTTTTAACAATATAAAACTGTGCAGCTGGAGAATAAATAACCAATATCCAGCTATGGACATTTTTACAGTAATGGATATTTGAAAATAGCAGCAACATCAGAGATGTGCAGAATGACAGCAGCAGGTTATTTAACTGACTAAAGTAGAAACTGTGCAAAATCAGCATGAATGTAAAAACTTATTGAGGTTGTTGGGAACAGTGGTGGTTCTAGAGTCTTCCAGCTGCTTGGAGGAAGGATCTGTGATAACGCTCCCTGGTGCATTTAAGGTGCAGCAGTCTGTCACTGAAGGAGCTCTCCAGTTCAGCACCAGCTTCATGCATGAAGACATTATTATAAAAAAATTATAATAAACAATAAGATGGACAAGATACCGATAGATAACTGAACAAATAAAGAAATATCTTTTATAGATATGTCGAGAACGGATATATTTTTTCAACAATACTGAAGGTGGTTTTAATTGATGCTGAAAGAGATAAGAATAAAACACAATAACATTTCCCTTTTTGTTGTTTAGAGGAATAATTCAAGTTTATGCATAATACGAACAACCAGAATAAATTTCCCCCCCATTTGAAGTTCAGATTTAGAAATGTGATTTTACCTATATTAATAAACCGTCTATCTTCAATCGTTTTCTATCTTATATATTATTTTTTTATTTTGTTTTTAAGACTTTAGCAGATAGTTGGAAAAAATAAATGATTATTTTTAAATTACTGTTTATACAACAATCCATTGCAGATTTAATGTTTATAGTTGAAGGCTATAGAGGACCAATCCCGCCATAATTAAAAATACATACAGAAATTAATGGAGGACTTAATAATATAAAATTATTTGAAAAACGATTAATAATATGAATTTGAGTGCCATTAAATGAAAAAAATAATAAAAAATAAGATATTCCTTCAGCAATTGATCAATTATTCATCTAAAAATATATATTTTAACTTCCACTTTTATTTTTATTGTTTTTCTTGCATTTACGCTGACTTATTTTTAACCCACTTATTTTCTGTTATACATTTTCTTGAAGTCTTTATTTTGTGTTTGTGTTTTTATTGCAAGTTGGGTTTTCTTGTTCCGTATTTCCACTGCAACCTTTTTTATGGTTTCAAATTTCTCACACCAACATTTTTAAAAGATGTTTTATTTTTGTTTCATACTGATTTATACTACAACATTTTTAAAGCATGTTTTATTTTTGTTTCATACTGATTTATACTACAACATTTTTAA